TCTCTCTCTCTCTCTCTCTCTCTCTCTGTCAAACACACACATAATATGCACGCACACATATACACACACACACAGACACAAACAAACACACACACACACGCACACACACACACGCACACACTTGCGGGAGCCCATGTACGCTTTAAAATTGAATGTTAATGGTTTGGGAATTTGTTCTTCTTACACGAGTTCGAGTTGCTTTTTATATCGGTGACGGACTGAATGTCAATGAGCTGTTGTTTACAGTGTATGTTACGGTGTATATCTACGCCCTAGTCGGTCTTCTGGGAGGTAGGCTTCCGACCCTGCCTGCCAATGTCAAGCAATGCCAACCCGGACTGAGAGGGATATTATACCATCCCAGCGGAAAAACCGAGATACGGTACTCGATAAAATGTCTCCCCACAAGGGAATCAAAACAGGAGGACCTGCATTTGACATTAAAGAGCATAAGTGCTACATCACAAACATTTTGTTTTTAGTAAGCTAGCAAAAAATTGGTTAAGTTTTTAGTTTTAGTTAACATTTTACAACATTTTCTACACAAATAGTAGCTCTAAGTGCTGGAGAATAGAGGTATTTTTTAAAGAGAATAACATACCAAAAAAAGGAGGAAGAGAAATAAGGGCAATATGTTTGATAGGTAAAAAGGAGCAAACCACAACCAGAGCACCCGCTAGCCAGCCACACATTACTGGCCACATGCCACCTTAAACAAGTCTTAGAATTCAAGCAACTCTGAAGAGTAGAATGGGGAACCCACAGAAAGGCACACGCCAATATGTAACCTTGCTGGTACAAGGAGGAATCTGGTCAAGTACGTTTTTAGACTCTTGGGTTCTTCCTGTCTTTTTTTCGTTTATTTTTCTTTCTTCCTGTCTTTCATTCATTCTTTCTTTCTTTCTTTCATGGAGGTAGATGATTCTGGAAGCCACTAACTATTTGTAGCATTTTTTCAAAACTGGTACATTGTTTTTCATGGTGTCGGCTGTCTTCCTTCAGTACTTTTCTTTATTTTTTTAATGTTTGCTGTTTTTCTTTACTTTTTTATTGGGAGAGGGGGGGGGGGCGCATAGGGAATTGGGAAGGGATTAAAACAGATGTGAGAGTTAAAGAGAACGGGGAGGGGGGAGGGGGAATACAAATAGAATAAAAACGATGCGAAAGCAAAATAAATTTTGCGTTTTTAAGGCAAGGGATATTAA